AATAGGCGTAATTAGCTCCATTGAAGAAAGGAGGCTTGTTGACGGGCATCGAATCAAGACCGGAGTCGTAATTTGAAGTGGAGGCCATTGATGACTTGGTAATCGATGTAACTCTTCCTGAATCGACTCAAGAGGCGATTAAACCTTCAAATGAGTGAGGTTCTGATACCAATTGTTGAGTTAATCGATCTACGGAATCGGCCAAGAGGGGGGTGAATTGGCAATTAAAAATTTCGTGGAAGCTTTTGCAGAAAATTTAAAGTAATTGCACAGCGATTTACAGTGGTTCGACTTTCTCAAACAAAGTCTACGTCCACTACCTTAGCTATCCAAACTAAGGATTTTCCAACAAATTCACTAATTTGTTCTTTCTTTTGAGGCCAAAGAGATAACCTTACAAAATCCCTCAAGAGTATACCCCAACTCTTGAGAACACTCTTTTTCCCAAAGAGAAGATTACAAATTTGCAAACTTACAAGAAAACCTCACAAGGTAAGATGTTTGCACAATTCTAGAACAAAGAAAAGAACACTCAAGGATAAATACAATTGAGTACAAAAGTGTTCTTGAAAGCAAATGAATATTGGATGAAAAATAGGCTTGAAATACTCAAACTTGAGGTTTGATGCTTTCTCTTTGATTCTCTCTTGATTCTAGTTGATTGATGTTTCTTGTTGTTGATCAATGGCTCCAGAACTTGTTTAAATACCCCTTGAATCAATTCTAAACGTTGGTGATAATTAGTGGGGATAATAGAGTCGTTTAAGTGTGAAAACAATTAATTTTTCTAGGTGGAGCGTCTCATGCATCGATGCATGATCAAGTATGCATCGGTGCATTCGTGTAAAATTCAAATATTTTGACCGTTGGAACACTTGATGCATCGGTGCACCAAGTGTGCATCGATGCATTAAATGCATTCGATGTTTGAGAAATAGCCTGATGCATCGATGCATGGCTTGTGCATCGATGCATCAAATGCATTCGATGTTTTGAAAAAATTCAGAGTGCATCGATGCATGGAGAGTGCATCGGTGCATGGAATGCATTCGATGTTCAATTAATTCATCGATGCATCGATGCATGGACTGATGCATCGGTGCATGCCTTTGAATAATTGATTTAAGGCTTGTTTTTGGTTCAAAATACTTTGTGAAAATTGTTTCAAAAATAGTTTAAGTACAAATCACAATTTTACACATTTAGTAAGGATTAGAATTGATCTTGAAAAACTTGGAGTAATAATTTGATATTCGGTTAATTGAATCGAATTTGTAAAATCATTTGTGAAATCTTAAAATTCATTTAACTTAATTTGTTATATCGAAATATCAAAAATGTTTTCAATATTTTGTCTCTCTTGAGACAGTTTCCCTTAAAACTAATTTCGTCTCCCTTGAGACAGTTTCTTTTAGAACTAAGTTTTGTCTCTCTTGAGACAGTTTCTCTTGAAGCAAATTTTGTCTTTGTCTCTCTTGAGACAGTTTTTCTTGAAACAAATTTTGTCTCTCTTGAGACAGTTTCTCTTGAAACAAAATCTTTGAATATGTTTTCCTTGAAACAAGTTTCGTCTCCCTTGAGACAGTTTCTTCTGGAACTAAGTTTTGTCTCTCTTCAGATAGTTTTTCTTGAAACAAATGTTGTCTCTCTTGAGACAGTTTCTCTTGAAACACCAAAAAATCCTTTGAAATGGTTTCTCTTGAAACACAAAAAAAACATTTCTCCTGAAACACAAAAGACCTTCGAGTTCGACTACGTTCAGCTCGATGACACATCAATCACGCTACTGTTCGGTTGCAGTCGAGGTTTTCAAGTCAAGAAGAAGACATGTGTTAACCGTGCTCGAGTGACAAGCAACCATTTTTCTGCAGCATAGCTTAAGTCGAGAAAAGCTATCTGTCAACAAAGACCTTTCAAGTTCGATTTCTTTCAGCTCAAGAGCCTATCAACCAGGGTGGAGTCAATGAATTATTGTCCAGTCGAATTTTTAACCAAAGTCTTCAAACCGAGAAGAAGACCGACGTTGACTACAATTTGACAACGATAAGCCACATTCTGATTCAAATTCAGAATTATGGCTTCAATTTCATTTCAAGATGGACCTGACTTCGCAACTCAGGAGTCATCCGCAACTCAAATCGACAGGGAGTTATTCTTAATTGAAATATTAGAATCAATTTTCAACTCCACCGAACGAAAATTTGTGTCTTTTTGTCTTTGTCCTATTTTTCGTTCCACGAAAAAGGACAAAGAGGGGCAGCTGTGGACACCAATTTTCATCCATATATAATATCATATATATATCACATATATATATTACTTAAATAATATATTTTTCTTTATTTTACAGATTCCAGGACCCGAACCAGTCAACAACCGTTTCAGCCCTCCACCAGCACCGCTTCTCACGCATCCAACAAACCATGCACCGGATTTCTCGACACCAATATCACCAATAAACAAAAAAGAAGTTTGGCATCGTTAGAAGTCTAGAATCAAATGGAACAAGGCTTTTAAACATTATAAATATGCATGATACATCACAAGAAAGAGGGAATACACAAGCAGGAACGGAGGTTTACACAAGTGTTACACACGATAGATACGAAAATTCAGAGTTTTTTCAAAAAAAATACAGAGGAGAAGAGTATAAAATATCGAATCCTTCTATTTTTTAGAGAGAGCCCTACGATTTCTTCATCGGAAAAAGAAGGATCTACGAGCCTTTGAGGGTAATCTCATTAAACTTTTAGATCTAAGGAGGGTGATTTGGCACTATTAGCTCTAGACATTCAGAAATCTTTTAAGAGTTTTGGGTTCAAAAGAACCATTTTTACCTTTCATCGTTGTGGATCTGAGGCATGGATGGGTAGCCAAGGTGAGCGTCAGCCAACCTTTACTCTCTCTTCAACCCTAGGAGCTCGGAAGGGTTTTTTTTAGAGATAACATCTCTGTTTTTTAGAGGCAGAAGAATGATACAAAGGGTTCCTTACCCCAAAGTCTTGAATTATTTTAATCGTGTAAACGTTGTAGTTTCAAGCATTTTGTAACCCACACCCTTTTTTGGGTTATTTAATGTTAAAGCCCCCTAACTTTGTATTCTTTCTTGCAGATCATTTCATTACTAATTTAGTTCATTAATTTCAATTCATTTCAATTCAGTCCTTTTTTATATTTTATTTATTCATTTATTTTATTTATTTTATTAATATTCTAATATATGTCATTTTATCATTATTATTATTATTTTTATTTATTATTATTTTTTGGGTTCTGTTTTGCTATTATTATTCTATATATTTTATTTATTTCTTTTATTTTTTATTACTTATTATTTTATTTTTTTTACTATTTTCTTCTTCTTTTTTTCCATACGTTTTTTATATATTTTTTTATTATTTTTTCCTTATTAATTTCTAATTATTTATATTTTCTTTTTCTTTCATTTATGTAATTTATTCTAACATTAATATTTGTATATATATATATATATTTTTTCTTTATTTTTATTTTTATTTTTGTTTTCTTTTTTAAACACCTTTATTTTTTTGTATATATATATATTTAAAATACTACATTATACATATATATTATTTATTCCTTTTTATCTTATTTTTGTTCCTGTTTTTTATTTTAATTCCATTATTTTTTCCTTTGTTTTTATTTTTATTTTTTTAAAATTATTATTATTTATATAATCTTTCTTTTTTTAATTTTATTTTCTTCTTTCTTTCGATTTATTTAGCAGTTATTTGTTTATTTTCTCTAACATTTTTAGCTTTGTAGATAAATTTCAATCGATCAAAGGTAAGCAATTCGAATCGAATATTTTAAATTTTAATTTAAATTTTTAATTTTCACAATTAAAGACAACCGACAAATTAATTGGTACCGAAAGGGCGGTTCAAGGGTGTTAATCCTTCCTTTACCGTAAAAGACTCCCGAACCCGACACGTTTCTAGTAAAACACATATCAGGTAAGATGGTGTCCGACCCGCCTAAATTCGTTTTAAAATGGTCGGTGGCGACTCTAACTCAATTATTTCACGTCGAAGCCCAATTCCGGGGCCCAACCGAAAGACGGTTCCAACAAAAGGACGTTAACTATTTAACGAGAAAGTGATCAAAATAGGAACAATTCAAAAGTTTAATGATTAAATTGAAAGGTTTTAAAATTAAATGAGCAACATAGGAAAAAGAATAAAGTTTACTAATGAAATTTGTAATTTACCAATTTTATATTTATAATACGACACTAAAATTTTAATATGGATTACGGCTGCTACGTGTACACCACATCAAATGAAGTGGGCTATTTTGATGTGCTCTTCATAAGGTTTGAACTTAGGCCACCTAAGATCCAAAGCTCACATTTAAATTTTAAAAATAATTATAACACAAATAATTTATATATTTTTAATAATATATAGTGATTATAAGATAATATTTGTTCATAAATTTCTCAACCATTGATAACACAATCTACAAACGTAGTTACGCGAACTATTTTTTTAAGGTCCTAGATTCGCGCAACTACGTTTGCAGAGTGTGTATGTTGTGATAGTAGATAAAGAATTCACATTATAGTGATCACCTTCTAGAAGTAAAATTTTCAAGAAACTACTCCATTTTCTATAATATCGTCAATTATCGTGATCTGTACTCCTAGTTGGTATCGATATTGAATGGTTTGTAAAATTTCAATATGTTACTTGATTACCGATACCCCTAGTTAGAGAAAGTCGATAAACTGGAATCAATACGTACCATAATATGATAAAATAATTTCAATTAAATTTTGACAGAAACTCGAACAATCAACTCGACTAAAAAAATTCAAATAAAATTTGATTAGTAAAATAGGACTCATCAATTCAACTAACTCGAAAACTTTTGACTCGACTAAACCGAATACTCACATCTACTTTTACCTTAATATACCATATTGACAATCATTTTTATGCATATAAAACACAATCTCGTGTAACTCGAAACTGAGTAAAAAACTAGAAAAACTGAACAAAGTTGGCCAGTTGCAACTATATGTCAGCATCATTGATGTTATCCTCTACAATGGCAATGCAAGATCCTACTGATTTTCCCAGGGACATCGCCTCGGCAAGCTTAGCTCGAGCGACTTCATGGCGGCGCAACAGTAGGACGGTGTTAAGTACAGACCATCTAACTTGCGAGTCTGCTTTCTTTTGAGTGAATCCCAAGCCTTTCAGTAATCCATCCAACTGATCCATAACCAGAAAGTTCAATTCACAACTTAAACTCCCTAGTGCTTGGGATGGAAGTTAGGGTAGATGAATAGTGCTTGGCATGGAAGTTAGGGTAGATGAATTGTATGTATACCTTGTTTATATCCGCAAGGCCACCCTCGGCGTATCCGAACAAAAGATATTCGGCTGCCACGCCCGCTAGTGCTATGCATGAGAATCTGTTCAGTGTCTGGTCCATAAACATGTTCAACATAATATTTCTAGTCAATCAAGTTATCTAAAATCTAACATGTTTTAAGAACAGGAAAATATGAGAAGTAGACAACATACTGCGGCTGATACTTTCCCTGCATTGACCTGCATGAAATGAGAACATTGGTAAAGAAATAGCATTAGGGAATCATCTGAAAACTACATTATTCCTAAAACTGAAGTAAGGTATCCCGCCTTATGCTCGGTTTGATATCATTCCGGTTACTGAAAACTACGATCAAGGGTCATTGTCTAGGATCTTGGACAAGGTAATCCTTATCAGAATGGGAAGCAGAAGCAGAAGCAGTGGCTAAGTGGAATATAGCAGATATATCGAAAGGAAAAACCTACTTCTTCGAGAAACTCGAAATCGACAAATGATGTTCCTGCTTGAATATTGAGTGATCCTTCCTTCTTTAATGCTTCCAAACTAGTTAATGTGTATCCTCTAGGAAGAATGCCCACCAGGTACGCGATCAAGAAATGACCCGCTTCATGCTGCACCGAAGTAGATATACATTAAGTAGCCTGTTTATGTGGAACACATTTTGAGTCTTTCAGCAATATGAAAGACTAATCAGAAGTGACACATGATAATCATGAACTGAAGCAAAATACATGGAAAATAAGAAGAGAAGGGTCCTACTTGAACAACCCTGTTGTGGTACTTTTGACTGAAAGTGTGACCGATCGTGTCGAGGACCAAGCCACCAATGCCTCCATTAAATGAAACCTACACAAACACCAGCATGCTGTAGAAAACAGTGGCTGCATCGATGTTTTAAGTAACGGAAATGAACTAGAAATCTCATCAGACAAAGGAAAACATTCATGAGACGTTGAGAATAAACTTCTAAAGTCGATATCGAGAAGGGGATAGTTTACGATCGAATGAGTTAGATGAACAGAATGAGGAAATTACCAAGTCCAGTGTCCACAGAAACAAGAATCCCAAAGAAATAAACAGGATATGCTGAGGGCTAAAACTAAAAGCATTCCATGCTGCAACCCCTCCTAAGATAGCAGCAAGCTGCAGGTTTCTTTCTATTGAACCAAGAGTTGCATCAATTGGTGATAGAAGAGATGTAGTTTCTATTCCATTCAATCTCAGTTCATCCAAGGTGTAGAGCCTCTGAGGAACCTGCAAGCAAATTTACTCCTCAAAGCAACAGCAAATCCGATACGCTATCGATGTAAATCATCACAAGATAGACTACTTTAGCTGCACATCCATCAGCCCTAGTGGTAAAAAAAAAAGAACTTTGCAGGAAAATCCAACATTGCTACCATTTGAAACACCAGCAGTAATCTCACATCTATTTTCACACATCAAAAATGGGAAACTAAGCACCCTCTATCAATATGTTCTTGGTTTCTGATTTACCTTTTTCTATTTCAAAACAAAATCAAAGAACACAAATTGAAAGAAAAAGAAAAACTATCGAAATTTGTAAGACTCGAAAACCTGGCGAGCAGCACCGAAACATCGAAGGCCACCAGGCTTTCCCTGCAAGTCCTTGACAAGGGACAGTGCAGTCCTCTCATCTCCATTGCTCAGCTCCTTATCAACTTGTTCCAGTACTTGCCTCCTTGACACTCCGATTTCCGATGAACTGAAAATCCTGAAAGTAGACAACCTGAGCCTTGGACATGAAGTTAAGTTCCAAAAACAAACCGAAGTGCCCATAACTTTAAATAAGAACTCATTCCAATATTCAGTAGTTTTCTAGCATACCATGCATGTCTCTTTCAATTTAAACTGCCCATTTTCTCAGCCACACAAAACAGGATAATGTACATTTTAGTATATTTAATATTTATTTTCTCTGCCTACATGATAAACACCCAATATAAACTGCCCTCCAGCAATCCAACGAGAACGTAAAAAGTTGAGAGATATCGAACAAAAATAAGAACTTTTTATTCAATAACGTGGAAAACACACGTGTCTAACTACAGGTTATAAGCACCCTTGACCACTTGATCAATTAATGTATCTAGATTAAAAGAGGAAGTGTCGCTACAACCCACACAAAGTGAGATAACATAACCATCCTTTGACCACTCGACCAATTAATATATCTTACAGCTAGATGTACGTTATGGGTGGGAGGAGATAATTGCTCCTCCCAACTTTGAAGGTCTAGTTGCATTTTAGGTCACTGATAGTTTTGAAACCATTATAATTAAGTCCTTGCCCGTCCCAGATTTTTTTGGTATAATTATGTTTTAGGACATTATCACTTTTAAAATTAATGGAATTAAGCCTTTACCCAACTTTATATGATTTAATTACTTTTTAAGACCTTCGAATTTTAAATTTAGTGAAACCAAACCCTTCATTTCTTAATTTTTATGGTTTAATTATTTTTCAGAATCCTATTTATTTTAAAGTTATACAATTTATCTCCTCATGATTTAATCTTGATTCGGTCCCTTCGATTTGTTAAGGTAGCTCAAATGTAATTCTTGATCTTGTTGTTTGGGCTTCAAATCACCATAGTTTTGAGCCTTATAAAGCTCAAAAATATAGATCAAAGCTAGGCCTTCCCAACTTTAATGGGACTCTACTTAGGGTTAGCTATAGCAATCTTGAATTCTTGATTATGGATTTATAGATTTGGATATTAGTTGATATTGAGTTTTTTTTTGGTTAAATTGTATAATAGTAGTGATACAAAATGAATATTGATAAACATTTTTAGATATTCATTATTTGAATTTAACATGTTATTTAAAACTAGATTCTTTATAATTTTAGATATCTAACGAATAATAATATTTAATTTAAATTTAAATAATAATACTTGAGTAATCTATAGATAAGATAGAATCAAATTTAAATAATTAAAAAATTGTAAGCATCTAATTTGTTGTCATTTTTATAATGATCACCAAATTCTACAATTTAAATATGAATTAAATTATTTAACTTAAACTAATAATCCAATTAATTCAAAAACTCAAATAACACATTATGTAATTTAAAATTTTAATTATTTAAAAATTAAATTAAATTTCTCTCTCGTTAATTCCATTTACATATTAAAGATGTTTGAGTTCAGTGGTTAAGAGAGTGTTGTCATCTCTTTAGATCCCATGTTCGAACACGACATCTACATAGATATATGAAATTTTATTGTTAAATGGTTGAAAGTCTTTTGGACATATATTACCTTGTATTCACCCAGATTAATAAAAAAAGATTTTCGAGCATGAAAATTCTATCATAAGAACCTCGAAATAAAATAGATTTGAAAAATAAATAATATTATCTAATTACATGAATTACCATAATTTTAAAATACCCTTTGGAGATTGAATGTGTCGTAGTATAAATGTTGATCGACATTGGACTCTACTTCAATTGGTCAAAAGGGTATGCCCAAAAAAGTTCTTTTTAGACTTTTAATCCTTTGACAATGAACATTTATATACGTATATATGCGATGTTCGAGCTTAAACTTCAAAAGATAACGATAAATCCCTTAACCTGAGGTTCGATTGATTCTAACCCAAAAAATCTTGAATTAGAAAATGTCAGCAAGTTCCCAATATTTCCGCAATAGTGCTTGCCAGCAACCATGCACGATTCGTAAGCCCAAAACACCTAAACAGATTCATTCCCCTCGGCCAATTTTTGTCAATATCCCGTTATGTAGAACTATTTTGTATTTTCCTTCTTTCTTAGTTTTGCCAATGGGTTACTTCACCAAACAACTCCAAACTATGGTCATGATTCTAAAATGATCCTTAAATTTTAAAATATTATAATTAAATCCTTGGAATATGAGTATCGTACCAATCAATTTGTTTCATCAGTCTTATATCAACTTGGGTATTGAATGTTAGCTTGGATCTAAAGTGGAATATATTTAAAACATGAGCTTAGTTGTAAAATAAATACCTAAATTATCTTTTTAGGTGTATAAATTATTTTTTCCAAATAGATGTTTAATGTTCCATTTCGTAATCATTTTAAGGGTGATTTATTATGCCCGTTAAAAAATATGTTATCTAATAATTGTATGACACGTGACACTCGTCCATCTATTGTATGGATAAAGCGACCTTAAAATGATTATAAAATAAAACATTGGATATCTACTTTAGTTTTAAAAAATATTTAATCACCTAAAGCAAAAAAAATTAGAATTTAAGCGCTTATTTTAGAATAAAGCTGTAAAACATGTGGGGTATTAATTGTATGAATAACCCTAAATCTATAATTATAATTTATATGTAATATAAATATTAACCATGGAATTTAACCCAAAAATAGTGTGTAAAAGAAGCCTAGATATATTTAGAGCAAAAGGGAGGGGAAAGGAAGAATGATGTGTGAAATTGGTCCATTCACAAAGAAAAAAAAAAGAGATGAGAAGAGCTGAATGATGGCAACTTGGCCAAGTAAGGGGTGTTTAAAAATCATTTTATTTCAGGGTAAACTACTAAATTATTTTTATTTCAAAATCATACCTAACATTACGTTTTAGTTTCATTTTGGTCAATCTTCGTTAAACAATTAATGGTGGTGTTGATGTGTCATCATAAAATAATATCACGTCAGAACATCTATAAATTTTTTAACGTCAGGTGACCAAAATGAAATCAAAACGTAACGTTAGATATGATTTTGAATAGAAGTAATAATTGGGTACTAAATATGTAGTTTATCCTTTATTTTAGTACTTTATTTAATTTTCTCACATCTCCGTTGTCTTTGTCCATCCATCCCTAGGAGAAAGAAGCTAATCCACAACAATCCAAGAACAGTTTCTCTGTTGTTGACCCAACACCAATGCTTCCAAGTACCAATTGTGAAACTACTGCCTAATTATAATAATAAAAATAATAGTAAAAGATCCCAAGGCTGCTTCCCTTTGACAGTGAAGTTCATGGACAATGACAGCAGGCCAGAGATGCTAGCTGTTTTGTTTTTTCTTGCTTCATCACTCATTTTCCCAATAATTTATGTTTTGGTATTTATCATAGGATAAATTATGCATTTACTCACCCACTTATTCTGATAGTTTTATTTTGGTCACTTAATTATTATATTTCAAAATCATATCTAACGTTATTAAGATTGTAAATGAGACGAGTCAGATCACATGTTACTCGAGATCGACTCGATCAAAGCTCGACAAATACTCGACTCAAGCTCAAGCTCGACTTGAGTTTTTAACGAGCTGATACCAGCTACTTCATACTCGACTCGAGAAACTCGTGACTACTCGAAAAAATAATATATTAAAAATGTATTCTTTAAAAAATTAAATTATTAATAATATTAATATTTATGTGTATTTAATATTCATATTCGAGTTTGAGCTTTAACCGAGTTAAGTTTAAGATTTTTTTATTTTGAGTTTTTTTTTGAGCTTTTTCGAGCTTCAATTCATGGTTTCGAGTTCGAGTTAAGCTTGAAAATTTTAGACTCACGATTTTTGGAGTCGAGCTCGACTCAACTTGTTTACAGCCCTAAATATTATATTTTGGTCATCAACTGTTAAAAAATTAGCACTGAAATTGACGTGTCAACATAATTTATGTCACATCATCATTGAACAAATAAAAAATTACTAAATTAGCAGTTCTATTTTTAAAAAATAGTTGAGTGACTAAAACAAAATCATAAGAATAGATGGGTGACTCAGTGTGTATTTTACTCTTTTTTGAAATTATTATGATTATTATTTGGTGCAAAGCAATCCACCAAAGCATTTTGTTTTAGCATAATTGCAAGGACAATGGGACAATATATTCCATTATATATAACTCACCTAGAATTGTCATGGCACACCACTTAATCATGTTTCCATTAGATCCATTCTCTCTTCTTTTTACAATAATATTTTAACACCAAAAATCTACGTCAAAATTACACAGAATCTTCAGTTTAATGTGTAATGAAATATATAAATTCTTAATTTTGTATAATTATATATTTTAATTTTAATTTAATTTAATATTCACAAATCATTAAACCGTTATTATCATAATATTATTAGTCGGATAAGATTTTTATCCTTCTAATTTTTTAATTTAAATATTTGATATATTCTTTCACCTTTCAATATTTGATCTTAACTTTATTTCCTATTACGAGGGACTAATTTATTTCACAATAAAAGAATAAAATGTATTAAATATTTAAATTTAAAACATTTTAAAAACAAAAAAAATTATTTAATTAACATTTGAATTTAGAAAAATATTTAAAATATTGTTATATCAGACAAAACACAAAGTAACCATGTGATCAGAACAACATAATGCACACAAAGCATTACTTAAACCATTGCAATATTATTATTAGTGGCAGAAACGCTGACATAATGATTCGAGGGAAAAAAATTCTCAAATAATATACAATGATGTCATTTATAAATAATTAATTTTTATATTTTTTCCAAAAAAAAAAAAGTGTTGTTTTAATTTATTTATTTTTTGAGATTTTGTGTTTAAACCAAAATAAGTAATTAGATTTGAGAGTCGTTTATGTACGAGAAAGATCAGAGCAACTAATGACACCCATAATTAGTACCTTATAGATTTATTTTGTCTCGATTTCTTAAAGTTATAAATTCAAATTTAATTTTAAATGTCGTCCTAATAAATATGAATGAAATTTTAATTACTCGAATAGACTTTGTGTAAAGACAAAAATATTCAAATTAATTTTCAAAATAGAACAACATACTTCAATTATTTTTAG